GAGGTGGGTGAAATGAGGACCTGGATTGTGGAGGGCGATATGCTGACTCTGTAAACCGCTTAGAGAGGGCAGAAAGACCTATGAAGGGGTATAGAAGTCTAACTGCTATTGCTATTGCCAAAATAGGAAGGCAAAAATGGACAATGCCACTCTCTAGGGATTTCTGTGCCAGAGTTCCAAATAGCATCCTCAATCAAATAAGAGTCCGAAACTAAGTATTCCTCTAAGTTCCAATTTATTAAAGAAGCCATGTTGGCACATCTGGGAAAACCCAAATCTGAAAGCTTCCAGGTTTTCCCCTCCAGTTGAAAGTTCAAGATGCTGCCCCAGTACCCACGTGTCCATCACATGGTCCAATCAGTCACTGTCCAGAGGAAGATTCCTCCCAGTCACGCCACTCCAGCTGCAGGGGCAAGATGACCTTGACTCACTGAGGAAGAATGTTATTTTGACTACATCCCTCCCATGCTCCATACAATCCCCCCTCACTTTCCCACAGTAGAATATGTGGCAGGCTTGAGGCCCACTGTAAAAGATGCTTCCAAGCTTGACACTCTGATTTATAAAAACAACTTCAAGGTGAGATTTTCTGTTCTTTCTCTGAAATGCACTTCTCCATCTTAGCTCATCTCAAGTGTTCTTATCTATTTAAACTAGTTTGCTGCGGATGCCTTGGTGTATAAGTGTGTACACAAATGTACACTCACATACACTTATACCCAAGAGTGTAGATATTTGTGGGTGTGCGTGCGTGTGAGCCCCAGAAGACCCACTCACAGAAGAGGAAAATAATTCACAATTATTATTATTTTTGGGGGGGAGCGGGAGAGAATAATGGCAAGGCACAGCAGCAGAGACCTTGTCCAATGGCGGATGTGGTAGCTTATCATTTGATATCTGTGCATATCTTGCAAGCTGTGGGAAGCGTATCTCAGCCTGCATAAGATTTTCTTAAAATGATTTCATCAAACTTGCCTGAGCATAGTTGCATAGGTGCAACTGAAATGTGTGACTATGCTTTATGTTCAGGGATGGGATTTTACTGGTTAAACAACTGGTTTGCTGAGTGTGCACTGATCTTCGACCGAACCGGTAGAATCCCTCCCTATGTTTGTATCTTATACTTTTACTGGTTTTGCAAACTGCACTCAGAAATGTGGTTGCTGAATGATACGCTAACAGTATAAATGAATGCTGTCCTTTCTCTCTGATATATGTTTAAACAATTTCTTTCCATGCGGCAAATACTGAAAAATTTACCTCAGTTAATTATGTTCTAATTGTTTTTACTACCTTTTGGAGTGATTTTCATGACTTTCTGATCAGTGAAGCTTGTCTTATTTTAATTTAATATATTTAATATGTTGCAACTTCCAGAACGTTTTTTCAAAAATAATAAGAATATAATTGAAGAATTAGAAGGGTTAAAAGTGCTAAAAATGCACATTGCAGCTACAATAACCCTTATCAGAAAATCAAGTGTTGTGTTCTTCTACAGTGTAATTTGTATTTAAACGTTTAACTGCCTTTAACAGAGGCAGAATTGCTAAATTTAAGGAAGGAAGTGATATTAGAGTAATGAAATGAGGAATGGGTGAGTAGACCTGTGTTTTGCAATGTTTAATTATAAAACGCCTGAGAAATGGTCTCAGGTCATTACAGGTAGTCCTCGATTTATGACCACGATGGAGCACAAAGGTTATGTTGTTAAGTGAGATATTTATTGAGTTCCCCCCCTCCATTTTACAACCTTTTTTTGTCACCGTTGTTAAATGAATTACTGCAGTAGTTAAGTTAGTAACCCAGTCGTTAAGTGATTCACATGCATCTGAATTTTGATCACATGATCCTGGGGATGCTGCAAAGAACATAACTGTGGAAAACAGCCATAAGTCACTTCATTTAGTGCCATTGTAACTTTGAACGGCCATTAAATGAGCTTGTGCTCAATCCCGATAAGATTGAGTGGCTTTGGATGCTGCCCCCGAAGCTTAGACAGTCTATCCTTAACCCTGGGGGGTGAAAATTTACGCCCCTCAGAGAGGGTCCACAATTTGGGGGTCCTCCTGGATTCGTAGCTGAAACTGGAACATCATCTGTTGCCTGTGACCAGGGGGGCCTTTGCCCAGGTTCGCCTGGTGCACCAATTGCGGCCTTATTTGGATCGGGAGGCACTTCAAATGGTTACTCACACCCTTGTCACCTCAAGTCTGGATTATTGCAACGTGCTCTACATGAGGATACCCTTGAAAAGTGTTCGGAGACTGCAGCTAGTCCAGAATGCGGCTGCGCGAGCGATATTGGGTGCACCAAGGTACACCCATGT